AGCATGTTTTTTAATTTTTGGAACCTAACCCTCCTTTTCGTACTAGTTCTTTGTTTCGCATAACACGGCAATTTTTTGGAACGTAACTACCGTGTTATACGAGGGTTACCTGTATTCTAAAATGTCACAAAGTGAAATCATCATGATATTAATCCTAGTTGATTTCATAGTTGTTTATGTCGAACAAGAATGCAGATAAAACGTTTTCACTACAGAGAGAGAATGAGAATCACTTGTGTGTTGTCTATGTTGACAGGCACGCTATACCCTTTGCGGCAGCCATTTTAGTTGACTCATACGCCACCTATAGTTAGTGGCACAAGCGAATAGCTTGCTATAAAGTTTTACATGGGTCATAACTTAATTTATATAGTATACAATCACATATTGTAATCATTGTGAACATACAGAAGTGTGTAAATTATTAGACTCAAACATAAAGTGTATTATTTTTTATTGTACTGGTCTGTCCGTGCAGTTAATTAGAGGTGTTTTTTAATTAAATTAGGTAATATATTATATCTCTCCTTCTCAGCAATATTAATTATAATAATATGAACACACCTGAATTCTTTTTGCCAAGTTTTTTCTCTTTACTCAAACGTTTTCAGCCTATTTGGATAGGCCATCTTCAGGTTTTCATTTATCATTCCAAAATGGAACCATGGTTTAGGTAATATATTTTTTTAATTTTTGCAAATCACTGTTATTTCCAGTTCATGTCATGTGTTCGATCAAATCCATGATAAAGCTAAAAATATTTGTAAAAATTGTGTTTTATTACTGTTTTTGTCAATTAAAACAGTTCTGGTAATATTGGTAAAACTTCTTACCTTCAGAAATTTTGGAAAATATCAAGAATTGAAGAATTTTTGAAGGAAACTGAGATCAATCAATGTGAAATTGCATTGCAGGTAGGGGTGAGCCAAAAGTCTGCCTCTCGTGTACAAAATTCACAACACAATGGAAAGTCATATTAACCAAAATGGTATTTCTTGCTATTTTCCAAAATTTCTGAAGGTAAGAAGTTTTACTAATAGAGAGGTTGAGGCGCACGTTTTAAACGTGTAAACGTGTACGTGTGACGTTCGGCGCCGCTTTCCCGTAAGCCTAAAAGTTTGACAATGGTGTTTGGAATGTCGTGCGTGATTCCACCGACTATCCAAACACCATCNCTATATAATGAATGAAGCAGTATTAAACAGCAATTTAAATTAATACTGTTTTTTCATAATCTCATAGTTAATAAGGCTTACTTATTTTTGTTTTTCAATTTTTGTATGATAAAGAACTCAAACACTAGTTAGGACAAAACATTTTATTCCAAAATAAAACAAAACATAACATAACAATATGTTTTATAAAATTATTAGTGCTTAACTCTATAATTATTTTGTATAAATCTGTAAGAAAATATCTTTCTTTGCAAATTATGAATAAAATACTGAATAAAAGAAAATGACTATACTTTAATTTGTTGCATCATTCATTTTGTATTATTTACATAAACATTATGGGTGCTAATATTGTTATAAGTTAATAAAATTCAAAGTAATATGTATTTTCTTCTAAAAGTGATTTCTGATGGANAGACTCAATTGAAACAAGCAAAAATTAATTGCAACATTGTCACAATGTTGGGCTATAATTTTTAATCATATTTTAATTTAATTTTAATTTAAAATATATCCCCTCCATCTCAAATTAGTAGTGCCTTGCTCCTGTACATCATACTTTTCTTGATAACAACACGATCATGCCAGTGCTAATATTGTTATAAGTTAATAAAATTCAAAGTAATATGTATTTTCTTCTAAAAGTGATTTCTGATGGAAAAAGCAAGATCATTGTATTTAAGAATTATTTCTGCATAGATAAGGAAAAATAACTTTGGTAAAATCATTTAATAGCTTTTCTGCCATAGCAAATCATCTGTTTTAACATTTCCTCTCCTTCTATAAGACATCTTTTTGGATCACCCACATACAGGTAACCCCTGTATAACACGGCACTTCTATAGCACGGATTCACTCTAACACAGTTCGAGAATTGGTACCATCCCCTGTATAACACGGTACTTTTATAGCACGAATTCNTAATAGAGAGGTTGAGGCGCACGTTTTAAACGTGTAAACGTGTACGTGTGACGTTCGGCGCCGCTTTCCCGTAAGCCTAAAAGTTTGACAATGGTGTTTGGAATGTCGTGCGTGATTCCACCGACTATCCAAACACCATTGTCAAACTTTTAGGCTTACGGGAAAGCGGCGCCGAACGTCACACGTACACGTTTACACGTTTAAAACGTGCGCCTCAACCTCTCTATTATTATCAGAACTGAATTTTGTGGGTTGGATCCTATTTTAGTCCAGATAAGCCTAAAAAATATAAGGGTAACCAGAAAACAGCTCTCCAAAAAAATTTAGAGATACATCAGTAATCGGAATAAAAATATACTTGAGTCTAATAATTTTCACACATCTGTATATATTAGTAATTTTAAAAATTTACACCTAATTAGTAATTAATTTATTGTTTCTATATTTATTATTTAGATTGGCAGAAGTCAGCAAATCAGGAGCCTGAGTCTGAGACCAGTGGGAAGCACTCCTCCACCAGTTCTGCCTCCACTAGTGGCACTAGCACTGCATCACAAAGCAAAATGAAATTGCAATGTATTGATTCATTTATTATGAAAACATCAACTAATCAAAAAATGCAATTGGATGTCCAATGCATAAAATTTATATATGCCACAAATTCAGCCTTTACTTATGTAGAACACTCCAAATTTATAAAATTTTGTCAGATGTTGCAACCTGTATATGACCCTCCACACAAAAAGGAAGTTGATGGACCCTTGCTGGACATTGTATACAATTCCACTGAGAATGAATCAGATGATGAGTTAAAGGATATTACAGTCTGTATAGCTATTGATGGGTTGAGTAATATCCATTATGAACCAGTGATTTGTGTGTGTGAGACTGATCCTAATGGAACAGTTCATTTGATTGACTCGATTGATACAGGGCACAGAAAGTCACACATCAAACTACTTAGAAATTATTGCAATTGCAGCAATAAAAAAATGCAATCAAAAGTATGGCTGTAAAGTAATAAGCCTGGTAAGTGACAAAGCAAGCAATATGAAAAAATGAGAGAGACATAAACAATAACAGAAAATTTAGATATTGTCACTTATGAATGCTATGCTCATATTTTAAACTTACTGGTTCAAGATATCAATATTAAAGATGTTAATGAGCAAGTTAAGCACATCATTGTATACTTCCGGAATCCATTTCCCGAAAGCCAAACACAAAGAGGCAGGTGGAAAAGATTGATATTACCACAGAATGTACGTTGGAACAGCTTAGCTGATTGCCTAGAGTCATACATTCAGAACTGGCCTATCCTAATGAAGATACTATAATCTTTCTGTAATTTTTATTTTCTTATTTTGTACTGTGGGCAAAGTCACTAATTCATAAAGCATATGCTAGCTGTGTTGAAGTGTGATTACTTATAGTAATAATGATGAGATGAATTATAAGATTATTTTGTTTTGTAAAGTGACTGTTTACTCTAACGCTAGTTATTCAATACTCATTGAGTAAAGTTAACGAGTATCAAGTGTTTAATCTTAAAAACCATTACAAATCTTATGTTAACAGGTTTGCGACGAAAACAGGCTTGTAATTCACAAGGATATTGTGGCCAAAGTTCAAAATGTTGGAATTAAGCATGATGCTGAAGATTTGCTGACACATTTAAAGATCATTGTTGTTACATTAGATAAAATACAAAGAAATGACTGCAAAATTAGTAAAGGAGTTGAATTATGGTTTGGATAAGTTATATTAACCAGAATTATTTTTTTATCCAATCTAATTTCAAAATTGTGTTCATTAAATTAATTTATATTCATTAAATTAAATTTATATGTCTAATGATATTATTACTTTTATAGTGTTCAAAATGACTTGCAACAACTTGGGATCATTGGAGTCACGCAAGCAGCCATAGATAGATTTGATATGGTTATCACAGACTATCATCTTTTAGCAAATCTTCTGGACCCAAGATACCAGGGTGCAAAGCTCACAGACAAGTATGAAGGATGCTTCACTAACTGTGTGCCACACTTACTACCCAGACACTATGCCTTCAGTTTTAAAATACTTGGCAAAAACTAGCTCATTTCTGCAACACATATTTGCAGAGTCTGTACTAATTAATATCACTCCTCTTACATGGTGGCAGTCACTACATGACAGAATTGATGAACCTCTTAAAATTAGTTACACAGCTGTACACAGCAGTGGCTTTGTCAGTGGATACTGAAAGAATTTTCTGTACCTATGGACTTGTTCATTCTAAACTTAGAAATCGACTTGGACAGGAAAAGGCAGCAAAGCTTTCTGAAAAAAGAAATTCAAACTGAAGAAATCACTGCTGTCAATCCTATTTTGGTTTTTGTACATGTGAATTTTAAAAATGCCATTCCATAAAGAAACATTTTAAAATGCTATAATTTATATTAAATAAAACATTCTGTTACTATATCATGTGTTTTATTTCCAAAAAAACATGTTTTAAATGTTTTAAAACATTTTTTTTAAATCATGCCAACACTGGTTCTTATGATTATCAAGATGAGTGCTAAGTAAGATTCTATTGATTTTTGAACAAACATAGGTCTTTATTTTCAATTGTAAAATAATAGACAAAAGTATGATCAGAATCAATTATATGCAAACTTTTAAAAATAAATGTATATTAACAAATAAATGTTTATATTACAAACCTGACCATCCCACTGGAAGCATTTCCTTGTGCAGTATCTTTTTTCTTAATATACTGCATATAGTTATTTATACCTCTGTATACTTTGTCATCATCTTTCACTTCCTGTAAATTTAAGACAAAATTAGAAAAACTGATATTCATTAAATACTTTAAAAATTTTGTTATTTCATTCAATAAGAAAATACCTCGTTAATTTTTTGAGATCGTTCAAATATACTCTGGGCATCGCGATCCTTTTCGGTTTCCGTTTCTAAAGTTGCAGTCGCACCCATGTCTGCGGGTCCTTCTCGTTGCTAAAAATGTAATATTTAATTAAAATTAAAACTATTAAAGCCATAGCTAAAAAGAACTTTAAAGATTATCATCTATACTAATATTATAAAGAGGTAATGTTTGTATGTACGTTTGTATGCAGCAGGTAATCTCCAAAACTACTCATCCGATTTCAAAAATTCTTTCACCGATATTTAGAATGGAACTTCAGGGTGGACATAGGCTGTATATTATTCCGTTAAACATTCATATAAATTAAAATATATAATCTAGGTTAAGGCTTTTATGTCCAACAGATGGCGCTACAAGTACGACGCCCTAAGTTTGCTTTTCTATGAGGCATTACGCTTTTCTGTGAAAATGAACTAACGCGGATCATCTATCCATTTATATAAATAAAAATGTAATGTTCGTTTGTTCCTAC